CCCCGAAATGACCGGTACTACAAAATCAAGTCATGTATACTGAAGCTTTTTTTTACAAGACAAAAAGCTTCAGTATATATGTTTCCATTCACTATTTTGTTATTGTCATAATAACGGATAATATAGTGTAATAATATTAAATTTTTAATCTGAACGACATTCACTGTACATTTCTGAGAACAGAATGTGTTCCAGAAAAGATTAACCAGCGATAATTAGACAGTAACCAATCGACCAGACAAGGCCTACCTAATAAGCAACCAAGTTCAAGAAATACTGATTTTCCACGAACATCTTTCTGAAATGACAAATTGAAAATGAGTGACAAAGATTTTAACCATCATTTAAAAGATATGAAATTAAATTTAGAACCATTTCATTGCAGATATTTTCCAAAATTTGTGGCTATAAGAAATTATTTCAAATTAACATAATTGAGTCTGGCAAGCAAAATGTCGGCGCAAATGACACGTAACTGATGGGCATTACTCTAACGAGAACTTCCCAGCATTAACTTTATTAAATGCTCCATGGATAATTAAATAGGCCTTTGTATTTTCCTCCAAAGTGATTACTGGTAAATACAATTGATCTGGTTTCAATTTGTCATTTGTCAATTCAAAAGGTAATTTTGAGGATACAATTATAAAACTGTCTAGAAGCTTGCGAAAAGAAAAAATTACACCAATATTGTCATATAACAACTCTAATTTGATATGAGTTGTAACTATTGAGTTATTATCAAACAAAGTAGTACAGTTAATGTCTAATACCTCGTATACAAAATAATTCATAACCAACCATGCGTTCAAAATATTAAATAACATTGGCAGTTAAAAATTCTGTAATTAGATAGTACATATATTTCCTGACACACTGTGAAATCTTTAATAATATATTAATAACACGTGAAATTGTATGCCGCCGAATCCACTTACAATTTTTTTTTTTAATTATTGTACGACATAAAAGTATTTGCTTCCTATCTCCCTCACATGTGAATAATATGAGGGTTAATTTTAGTTACACATTCATTTATAAATTATGTTGACCTTATCTTTAAATTTTGTTTTATGTATGCACCAGCCAATGTGGAGAGCCTCTCGACAGAATTTTAAAATTCTTTTAGGTGATCCTCATTATGTTAATGTCATATCATTTTGTCAACCTTGTGATGCTTTGTATGTTATCTTCTTGCCTGGAAATAAAATCAATCAATCAATCAATCAATAAATCAATCAATCAATCAATCAAATCAACCAATCAATCAATCAATCATTCAATCAATCAATCAATCAATCAATCAATCAATCAATCAATCAAATACTGGAAGGGGAAGTCCACCCTGATAAGAAGTTTGTTTTAATATAAGGAGAAAAATGAGAAGAACAGATCAGTGAGAGTTTGAGGAAAGTCGGACAATAAAAAAAGAAAATTATGGATTTTAAAAATCCATAACTTTTCATGAAATACTTCAAATCTCTAAATATGATGTCCCCCTCTCACAATACATCCCTTGTTGAATATAAGAAATGTCATTAAATTCCATTTTGATCGAAAGACATATTTTCGTCATGCCTGTATCGATCATATATCACGGATAACCTGTTCTTTCATGCACCAGTACCACCATATAAGATAGGCCTACGATTCCATTAACATTCAGAGAAATTGAGATTTTGGGTAACTCTGTCCTTCAGATGTCTGACCGCATTGCCAATTTGTCTTAAAGATTCCAGGATTTTCATGATTTCGAAAGATTCACAACTTTCTTATTTGTTGTCCGAATTTTCTCAAACTTTCACTGAATTGTTTCTCTAATTTTGTTGCTTCTATTAAAACCAATTTAAATCAGGGTGAACTTCTACTTTAAAGCATACTTATGAAACAAGAGATCACATTAAAGCATCTGCATTATAAACAAAAGAACGGAAGTAAAATAGAATATACCAAAAAGACAGAACGATTACTTATATGCCAAATTAAACAGATACGTTTTAAGATTATATTTAAACACTTCAATTTATTGACATGTACAGTGCGTCCCAGAAAAAACGAAACCGAGAAGTATCGATGTTTTATCATAACTTAATCACAACCATAATTAATGAATGATACATATTTGGAAAGCTTAGAGTCTCCTCCTTCAGTTGATGCTACTCAGATGATGCATATTTCACGCATGAGTGATTAAAAACAATTTGAAAGAAGGAAACCAAAAAGTGATTTGGCGGGCGGTATCTGAATTTCAAAGAAAAATTCATATTTCTAGAAAGTTCGTTTTCTGTTCTTTCATAATGATACCTCAATCAAGAAAAATGAGCCAGGAATAACAAAGTTCTGTTTGTTTAAAGTAGCCCTTACATTTTCATAATTTTAACAAACGAATTCGTTTTCACTGGGTGCCTGCCGTAGCAAAAAGCAGATTTGACAAAAGACTTAACTCCTTTTCGTTGACAATCAGCCATGCATGAAGACTCTCGTCTACGGCTGATTGTCAACGAAACGGAGTTAAGTCTTTTGTTAATTTCGTTTATTGATACGGCAGGCAGCCAGTGAAAACGAATTCGTTTAATAAAATTATGGAAATGCAAGCACTACTTTAAACAAACATAACTTTGTTATTCCTGGCTCATTTTTCTTGATTGAGGTATCATATGAAAGGGCAGAAACTCAACCTTCTAGAAATGAGATTTTTTTTTCTTCGAAATTCAGATACCGCCCGCCAAATGTCTTTTTGGTTTCCTTCCTACAAATTGCTTTTAATCACTCATGCGTGAAATATGCATTATCTGAGTAGCATCACATGAAAGAGGAGACTCTAAGCTTTCCAAATATGTATCATTCATTAATTATAGTTTTGATTAAGTTATGATAGAACATCGATACTTCTCGGTTTCGTTTTTTTCTGGGACGCACTGTATTACAGCGGAGGCCCTGTATGGGCAAAGGTCCCCCCACTTTGACAATAATTTAGTTCAAACAAGAATATAATCAGCAATAGGCGTCCTTGTATTTCTAGTGGTACCAGTATAAAAAGCGTCTGTAATCATGCTAATAGCCTCGTACATCACGCATAATTATATTACTTATTTTTAATACAGTGTCTGTACAGAGTAAAAAGGACATTAACTCGTATTTGTCATTGACAGTTAAAACAAGCAGACCAAGAGGAAGCACGTGACGAGCCTACAAGGGGTCTGCTTAAAGCGGAAGTCCGACCCATTTGCAGGTTGAATGAAATAAATAGAGAAAAATCAACGACAAAAAACCGGTGAAAGTTTCGCCGAAATTGGATAAAAAATTATGAAGGATAAGATTGTAAAGTTTCACATAATGAAACAGTGATCACATAGGCTTAATTCAAATGAGCGAGTCAATGATGTTTGCAGTTGGTTTATTCAAATCAACTTGCAAATGGGCCGGACTTGCCCTTTAAGTAAAGGAGCTCAAGCCCGTTGGGCTCTCTCGTCAAACAAAAGGTCACTCGATAAACCAAACGATAAAAAGGGATAAAAAGGGAGGGTGAGCTATCAACGGGGAAAAGAAGAGAAGATAATACAACCCCATTGCACACTCTCTCTCCTCATTCTAGCTTTCTTCCAAAGCATAATCACCCTATCGCAAGACCGATGCCATATGACATACACGCAATGTCAAACCATTACATGGCTGAGCCAGCGCTGTGCCACCTATAGAACGAGCAAGACGGGTCCTTTAACTTTGTGAGAAATATTTGTTTTAATACAGCGAATCGTCCAAAGACTATAATATTTTGAAAACATCATCTTTCCTCGAACAAACACACGATATTTCGATTTCTTGCAGAATGACAGCATTATGCTTTTTCGTTCATGATTACGCCGATCAAATCTTCACAAAGATCCTAAGTTAAACTTATCTCTAAGTTGGACTTAAAGGGATAGTTGAGTTTTGTTACAGAGGGCGCTACACAATTTTTTTTGGGTGAGATAATGAAAAACTGAGTGTCAAATTTGAAAGAACAAACAATTTAAATGTCAAAATCATCTTTGTTTGATCAATTTTGGTTCAGAGACGGCTGAAATATCCATAAATAATTATGACGATTTCTAATACTTGTGTACCACCAGAATGCCAATGCCGATGTTGCCTTTTTTGTTGGCATTTTCGTGTTGGTTATATTACGCACAACCAGCCCGCCCATGTATTGTCATTTTTAATGAAATAATTAATTAGCGGTCACCGTATTGGTATGATCGTATTGGCTAAATTTCACACATTTTGGGGTCTAAAATTACCTTCATAACAATTTTAGGTTCTTATAGGGCACTAGAAATGTCATAGATAAGAATAAGAACGATAACCATGCACTTTGAAGGCATTGGCGGTCTGAAAACAGAACTCAACTATCCCTTAAATAGTTATGGAAAGCCGTTAGCATATTTGAAAATATGTTGTAAAAGTTATTTCAAAAGGCATAAAATGTTGATTCAAATCATACACAGTATGATCAAGGGGATTTCATGTTCGTGAAAATTCTAACATATTTGAATTTTATCTTTTGAATATATTTTGTTTGAAGGCTACAAATGGCTCTCCATGATGTATAAGTCAACTTAGGATCTTTGTGAAACACCCCTAGTTAATATAGTTACCTTGTGTGAATTCCCCTTTCATGAAAATTCGTATGATTATTTGCAAGCAGTCTCCAACAGGGCATCGATTCATAACGACTTGAGATTAAAAATATACCTTATCATAAATTACCGCCCTCGAAACTAAAAGAAATAAATATTAAAGGTCAAGCCCTGTATCAAACAATTGCTGTAAAAAAAAAAAAAAAAAGAGCAACGCTCTTCCTTCCACTCACTGGCGTACTGATAGGGGGCCAAGGGGTAGTTGCCCCTAAAATAAAATGCAAACGTGGTTTATTTCTTATTCGATACCAGTGATTTACAAACGTTGCTGAAATGACATGATTTTACAGGTTTTTTCTTTACTTTCTTGTAAATTTTTATGCGTTTGTTGGTAAATGACAAATTCCCAAATTTTTAGTCAGGCAAAAATTGTCCCTTTTTTACATAGGAAAGGTGCCCCTTCTATAAGTGTCATTTTCCTTTTGGATATGTGCCCCTTTTTTCTTCCCCCATAAAATGTGTTCATAATTTAAAGCAACTAAGAGCAATTTTTCCATAAATTTCGCCCAAAGCTCGTTCGCTACGCTCCCTCGCATTTAAAGTTGGTATAATTATGTTTCTTATTAAATATCTTTTTAATCTTTCATGATAAGATTGTGCTTAAATCCCATGCCACCAGAATTGTGTGTTTTCCTTTTTATAACATGTGGTTGTTCGCACTGCGACCTCACAAATCTTAAAATGTTGTCAATTTCAACATCGATTTCCAATTCTAATACTAAAAGAGTAATCACAGCAATAGGCTCTATATTATTTGTTGTAGAAGATAACTTAGGTGGTTTTACATCAAATTGATCAGGGGAATGCTCCAGGAGATTCCGAAACGATTCGCTGAACTCTGAGCGGTTTCCTCCGCCGATCCGACCATCTTCCAGCACGTCTCGGAGCCCTCAGTCTACGCGCCTTCCAAAAGAGGCGAAAATCCCTCTTCCACCGTCTGCTCCTGTAATAGCCAATCTTCCACGCGACGCGACGCGCAATGCGCAAGAGTTCCCTCGAACTCAAACTCATACACATAGATGTATAGCAGAAACCCACAAAACAGTATATAAATGTGTAATATATGGAACCAGGGTGCGCACTGGGTTGGTAATAGAGATCGCCAAAACCTATCGTACTTAGCGACACGAAGGAATAATAAAATGAATCTAAATAATTCCATTTGATTGCGAAATGAAACATGAACATTCCTATGATGAGGTATACAAAGAGAAGAAGAAACGCCATCCACCACGGGAAGGAGATATCATTCACTTCTTTATCAATATTTCCTGGCGAAGGCGACTCTTCTTGAAACAAAACATGAGAAACACGACGTTTTTCGGAAGACTTAACTCCCCCATTTGAGGTGATTTCCTGAGTATTTTCGTGACTCGTGTGTTTTTGCTGGCTCTTGTCTTTCTCGGCGTTTGTTGCTTCGATGAAAGATTGAGTTCGGTTAGAAATGATGTCAGAATCCGCCATGTTGGAATCTTTGGTTTCATCTTCTGAGGGGTAGTCACTTAATGTCCTCGGAATATCTTTTGATACTGCATTCCCATTTCGATTAGCTGATGGATCAAAAGGCTCTTTAGATTTTGTTCCCTTGTGCTTATTAACATCATTTCTTTGACTGGAAGACGGCGTTTCTTTCAGCGTCGTTTCCAGCACTGGCTCACTAAACGATCTAAGATATCTCGACTTGCCTCTCGTTTCAACTATAACTTCCGTCGTAGCAGGAAAATGAACCTCTTTCTGCAATACATCTCTTCGATATCGTCGTTGATGTGTCGACCTATCGACGTCGTTGACATCGATATTGTCCTCGGACTCGCTCTCGTCCCAAGCTGCGTGTATGGCGATCTCGGCCGTATCATAAATATCGGTATCATCTCTAATGATTTCGCCGATGATTTCCTCAATGTCGGATTCATTATCGGTGTCCGAATCAATGCTTATCACTGGAATTCTAGGTTTCGCTACCGTGTTACCTTGGAGTGTATATTTATCATTCACATCATTAAAAATTGTATCTTTCATCTTGTCATGTATCTCTCCGTTGTATATTTCGTGTGGTGTCCCCTTGTCCCTATTACTCCCACTGTGCGAGGTTTTATTCTGTTCATCAAATTTAATATCAATATTAGGCGAACCTTTGAAATCAAACTCGGGTTTTATTCTAGCAGTCATGCCTATTTCCTCCTTAATATCCCCGCCAACTTTCGTCGTACTTGCTTCGGTTGCCATGGTATTAGGAACTGCTGTCGACTGTTGTTTCGTCACTCGTCGTGCTTCCAAAGTTGATCTTCGTTTGGAACGGTACAACAAGACGAAACGTTTAACCCATTGTGCTGTCACCGTTCCTGAATTCAAACAAAATATACAACAACAACAAAAAGAGTTATCTGGTTGTTTAAGAGAGACAGAGAGTGACACAGAGAGATATATTAACAAACGTTTGGGGGCAGATCGAGGCCGGTTGGAATCCTCGCCAGACAGAAGGTGAAATGTATTTCGGGCCGCTATGTGTGCCGTATACAATCTCTCAATACCCTAATCAAAGTCTCATAACTCCCCTTTTCTGTTAATGACATAATTTTAACTTAATGGAAATGCCTTTTGAAAACACATTTTCCTTGCCCAATATTTCTGTGTTTCATTCCGCATTAAGTGTAATAGCATAAACATTTCACAAATTTAAACAAAATCGGAGTTTGGTAGACATCATACGATGAAGAGAAAAATATTCTCAACCACTCACACATTCTCTTTATCTCGCACTTTTCTTCCCCCCTTCTTCCCATTCTCCTGTTCGTCTTCTTCATCTTCTTCTTCTTCTGTTTGTTAATATTATAAATATTTGTGTCATTTTATTATTTTTATTACTATCATTATTATTGTTATCATTATTTTCATTATTATTACCATAATGTACATGGTAATATATCCAAATTACCAAATCAAACTTACCGATGTCAGAAACGAAAAGGAGCATGATTGGTATTCCAAAGGTTGCATATACGATAACAAGAATGTGCCCAAGTTTGGTGATTGGTGTAATATTACCATAACCTGTGAATAAATGCAAAAACACCAAAATGATACTTAAAGATTATATTTTCGGTGAACTACGAAGTCTACGAAATGGCTAACCATTATTCAAATTACGATAAGAATGATACTGTATGCGTTTTATGAATCTACTTGGCAGCCATTGGAACAACAAGAAACCCCACACGTAATACACTATTCATACCCCCAAACTAATCCCCAAAATGATCGAAAAAAGACAAAATTTAGCCATTAGCGATATTGCAATAAATTGTGTGCAGTCGGTCTGATGCCCGCACCCCCCCCCCCCCCCCCCCCCCTCACGCCGAGAACGGACGGACCCCATGCGTGTAACCAAAATGTCCGGTAAAGGGGTACTTTTCGTTCGACAAAGTCCGACCCGAGAAATGTAAAAAAAAAAAAAAAAAAGGGGGGGGGGGGTGTATTTGACTTTTCACCGGGAGATCTCTTAAAAGGGGAGGTTTTTTCCTTTTTCTCTCATCTCTTTAGAATCCTGAGAAATTATTCCAAATTTAGGGGGGTACATTGAGCATTTTTCCGGATTTAGGGGGGGGGGGGGTCTCCAAGGTAGGAAAAGCCCGCGAAAAGCCCGCGAAAAGGGAGTTCGGAAATGTTGACAGTCCTCAGATAGGGGGTGCTTTCAAAAAGAGGGAACAAGCATACGCGTACCCTAAATAACACTGAGTGGGGGGGGGGGGCGGGAAAATGACCGAAAAAGACAAAATTTAGCCATTAGCGATATTGCAATAATTTGTTCGGTCTTATTGACATGTGTGCAGTCGATCTGATGTCGGTCTTACAACGTGACTGTGTTATAAAACTGTTAAAAATTCGTCAATAATTGACGAAAGATGGACAGGCATGGTAAGGGGTCAAACCCTACTAGAGGTCTGTTCACTAAATAGTTGCCAAAAAGTACAGGTTATCACGGTTTTCTTGTCACTGAAATTTGCTGTGAAAAAAGGAAAGTCTAACACTATTTCTAAAAACATTTTGCGATCGATGAGAGTTTGACCTGTATAGTACCAGCACCATTCATTGAAAACTATTAGCTGTTAGATCTTTCGGATAAAAAGGGGGTGGGGCCTTGCAAAAAAACCCTTTGGCATGCTAAATGTTAACTCATTAAAAATCAGCCCTATATATGCTATTCCTGAAAGTTCATCAGTCAAAAAACGGAGCATTTATCTGCTGATAGTACTTTTAATTCAATGAGGGTATACTATACCGTACCTGAAAATATTTCTATCTAACGAATGATATCCACTTCTATACATCCGAATCAACAGTCTAAATGTAGATTTAGAGACAGATTTTCAATGGATATTGGTCTCACGTAAGATTTGAATCCTTAATATGTCGATTTGACTTCATGTAAATGAAAGGATATTATATTACACTGATACCAATAAGGTTGGAAATCTTCAAAAATAAGAAAGTTAGGATTAATTTTTGAAGTTGTCAGTGAAAGACAAATTGGCAACCCTGTAACTTATGTTGCGAACTCCTCTCCAATTCGCTCTGTACATGAAATTTCATAAACTTTAATTGTCTTAGTTATTGATGACGGAATAGATGTATTTCATACAGGGGAGTTATAAAGACACATTTACAATAATTACATTTAGGGTAAGTGTATGACTACAAATTCTCTTAATGGAAAATACACATTTTTGAAGTTTTTTTTGGATACAGGACAAATGAGAGGGGAGCTCGCAAAATACATCAAATAGTTGCCAATTTGTGTTTGATTGATCGTATCTTAAATGTTCCCACTAATTCCTATGCTTCTAATAATAATAATAAAGACATTTATAACCCGCAACATATCCACCCAGAGGGTGCTCAAGGCGCATCAAAAAATAGTTTGTATTGTAAAGGGGGTAGTCTAAATGTAAACCGACTCAATATCAGGGTGGACTTCTCCTTTAAGTTTATGATACAAAAATATTTCAATCTACCTTGAATGATATTTGCATGATAACTCTTATTTTATAACCGTATTAAGTGATTACGAATATGCCTTGAAAGAAGCATTATGTCGGTCTTAATTTCACAGATTATTTTCACGGTGCTCACGTAAGAGCTACATGTTTATGCCAGCAACTTTAGTCACTCTTAAATGTATATCCTATCTTGGCCTATATGGCACTTATTTTGGCTATATGAAACATGTGTCGTGCCATCGATATGCATGTCAAGAGCGGGTAATTATGTTATGCGAGTACATATTGACCTTTGGCAGACTATTTGAAATTATATCCTGCATCAAAAATTTGTTGGCTTTTGATTGGTTGATAGCTCGTCACATGACCAGAAATATTTGACCTATTTTTTAAAAGTACTATATAAGAGTACTATTTTGGTTTACTATTTGGGAGTTGAAAAAAAAAAATGTGAATTCTTTTTTTGAATTGAATCAATTTTTTTTCTTCAAATCTTAATTGAATGAAAACAAAACAAATTGACATTTTTTTTTTCTAAATTTTTTTTCTCCCAAAAATGTTTTTTGTTTTGTTTTAAATAAATTTTTGATGCAGGATATACAACAAATATACCATGCCTTGTATTCGAGGTACTGGTTAAACTATGGGCCTCGGTGACCCCAAAAGTACCATTTGCTTTGGGCCTGCGCCCCTCAGCAAATAGTGCTATTGGAGTCACCTCTTGCGCATAGTTTTAACCAGAACCTCTCAAGGCAGTGTATATTTGTATACTATCGACCCAAGTGAAGTAAATGGGTAGACGGTTAGAGGATGTTCCTTGAATGCATGATTCAGCACCTAGATCATTTTTACTCGGCTAAACCCGGGATTATAATCTTATTCAGCAGGTTCCACTTATTGTATTCACAGAATGAGCTCCCTGATCATAATATTGTAGCGATTACACTACAATGAGATTTACTCATAGGGACGGGGCCCTAAACAGATTAAGAAATGAGGTATGTCCTTCCCTCGAAAGGCACAGTTCGTGTTTATCTGTTATAAGGGTATTTGGTGTTTGGAATAGGAATACCCATGATTAGTCATGGAGGTTATGTCCTTAAAGCTGATAAAGTAAAGGGCCAAATGTGCACCCTAAACGATAGCATCTTATCTGAAACAAAATAGACAATCTGAACATCAAATAGTTTGAATTTGCAACTTTATCCTATCTATTTATTCATTTTTGTTTTTTTAATTTATTCATTTAGTACTATTATTGGTATTACTATTATTTTTGAATATTTTCGTTTATCTTTTTAAATTGAGATTTTAGAGAGTAGAAGCTCAAACCGGTCAAATTCACACCCAAGTGGTGCTGATATTATATTGCTTTAGGGTGCAGTTGACTCCAACATTATTGATTCTTACCTGGATCCAATATCCTAATCTGGAAGGGGAAGATGAAGAAAATGTATTCTTACCCGTGTGGAAGTTGACTTAAAAAGTTTTAACAACTCATCAACTCATCTTCTAAAAATAATAATTTTACTCTTGTTCTAGTTAGCACTTTCAATGAGCCCCAATGAATTTTGCAATACAGTAAATAGTGGCGGATCCAGGGTTAATTGACCGCGGAAAGGAGGGGGGGGGGGGGGTGGGCAATAACATAAATATTGTGTATACATGTATATTCATTTTATATGTGTGTGTGTGTATGCGTAAGGAATGCCAAATTAGGGTTTAGAGGAGGGGGGGGGGGGTAGGGTGGCGATGTGGTCCCCCAATGCCGCCCTTATGCCCACCAATACACAAAAAATGTATCCCATACCTATTGTAGTGACGATAGAGAAACACAAATGAAAGGCATTTTCGAAGGACCATAACTTAATTGATTCATCGAGAATTCCTATCGGAAATTTCCACAATTGCTCCTCCCACCCCATGAGCCACGTGAAGACACACTCTACGTCTTGGTGACAGCTCTCGTTTAGGACCAGGATTTGGGCGAATTCCATCCTGGTCTCGTCCAGTTTCATGTGCATGGCCTGAGCTGAAGCCGTTTCAACGTACATGAACATAAGCGCACCAAGGGCCATGTACACAAGGAGAAGCAAGAAAAGCCCAAAAGGCGACGACAGCAGTTGCAGAAGCTTTTTACCGAGCTTTAGTTTTCTCCTACGTCTGGACATTTTAGGGAGTTCTCTTGACGAACATGATAGTTTAACATTTGATAGCCCTTTGACCTCAAGGACATCAGGTTCCAACATGTCTTGTGCGGTCTGGATTTCCCCAAACTTCTTTGAAAGTGGTGCAAGCAAACGGGGATGTAGAGTGATGAATTTGGATATGTCGGCCGGTCCAGGATCTGACTTGTATCTTTTACTCCTCTCCTTCAGTTGCATAGTACCAAAAACTGACATCTTGAGATCAGGAACTAGTCCTTTTTTAGATGAGTTCATCAATAGGAAGGTCCTATGTTGTATTTTCTTGGGATTCCATACTGAAAACAGAATCCATTTGAGGATATTGAATAATTAAGGTCAAATATAGTTCCTGGCAGAGAGAAGGTACTTATTAGATAAAGTCCACATCTTTAAATTTATTGCAATTTTTCAGATAGCATTCCCGCCATGTTGCCAGTTGTGATCATTATATCACGTTTATTCCAAATGTGGTTGCGACACTCCGTATGCTGTTAAATTCCCAATTAAAGGATCAGTCGATCTTTTTTTACTCCTTGGACCCTGTGAAATATAAAACAACGTCAATGTTAGTTACAGCTCATAACTTAATAAAGAATATTGAAGGAAATATTTTTTTGTTAAGACTTTAAACAAGATGTTCCTCATCGAATGTGCTTTCACTCAAAATAAGTACAAACGTCACAATATCTCGTTGAGTTTTCGATAGCCTAAGGAATTTCAAGTTTGGTTTGGCTGAGGAACAATTTTTTTTACATAGAGTAAGATATATATAATTGTACACAAAATAAAAGCCTGGTAGGGTGGACGTTGCGTAGAATATAACTAGATATCTTAGATTTATCTGGATGTTATAATCAACAAGGAATGATTTTGAAAACGTTTAGATTTACACAGACCTCATCCAACATATTGTGTTGATATCTTAGCATTTTAAGATGTGTGTGTAGCTAAATGAATAATTTGCTTACAAAATATTATTCCTTTGTTAATATAATAATAATAATAACAATAATAGTAATACAAACAGTGCTTATAAAGCGCTTTCCACCAAAGTCTCTAAGCACTATACTAGATATATATATATATATATATATATATATAAATACACTTATAAAATATATTTCAAACTTAGTAATACTCTGTCGCTTATGACGTTTAAGATGGGCATTAAAGTTGACGTTATACGTGTAATACAACACAATATAATATACAATGTTAAGATGATGATGTAGATGGTGGTGAACGTAATAATAATAATGATCTTGATAACAACTATGATAATAAGTGTTTTTTTTTTATTTTATACGAGGTGTTAATGGCAATTTGCATATATTTCTTTAATCAAATCAATAGGATAGTTTGATGAAATCTACTCACCGTTCATCCATTGATGTATCGCATTACGCCAACGGACAGCCCAAAATATACCAGTTCCAAATATTGCGACATTACACCAACTTTTCTCACAATTTCCACACGACTTATCGCGATAAACTGAAGATGTCAACCATGCTTTGTAGATTTTTATTCTTTTTATACTTTTATAATACAAATGGCTTTCCAGACTGACAATAGGAATAAGGTGACTTGCTATAGAAAATGTCAGCTAATCACTTAAATAGATATTCCGAATCATCAGTGAGCGTTGCTTCGTATTGTAGTGTAGGTGATGGTTAATATGGGCAGACAAACCAACCAGCATGTTTTAGTCTAACTATCATTAATACAAATTGAAGAAGGCTCAATACGATACAAGGTACCTGCATATTTTAGCCAATCTTATCCATAGTTCTGAAGGCTATACCACGCATTAAAGGCTTGTTTTATGTTCATCATATAATCACCATTGTTTTCGTTTGGTAGATACCTTGTTCTTGTTCTTTCAAATGAAAGATTAAAAAGTGTCATGAATAAATGATGGTATTAGTTCGAGGCCCATGAAGGTTAATTAGCACAGATTAACATTCATTTATGTCTTTATTTGTTCATTCAAATATATCTATGCTGGATACAAAGGTTCAGAATTATATTTGTTTTCCATCTTGGTCATGGTATTAAAACATACAAATATGAACAATTATGCAATGGTAAATTTGGATTACATACGATAACAAGGAAAAGAAACACAATATGCAAATGCACATTTATCTTTTTTTGTCTTTATCCATGAGTATATCTATATTTCTGTCAGTATGCATGTAATATACTGTACATCTGGGCTATATCCATAACATACATCCATTCGTAGGTATGTCTAAAACATGCGAACGGGTAATGCAATCATGACATTTGATATTCATGGAGTGCACATCGAGAAAGAAATGTATATATCGGTAGGGGGCAGAAACTTCCCGAGCAGACATTGCTTTTGGAGGTCTATTTAAAAAAAAATGTTTTAAAGCTTTTATTTAAAACCAATATTCTTATCTTGCAGAAACAGGAACCTCTATGACCAGCGGTTAAACAGATTGAACCGAACACACTTCTCTTTTGCTTATTGGAATAATTTTGGTGAATTTAAAAGCTAATTCGGTTATTCTATTCCAAATCAAAAGGGTTGGCGATGCCCACCGCCTACCTCGTGCAAGAGCACCCACTGTTATCTTTCTTGAAGAGTTGGCAAGTGTGAATATGAGGGCAATAACACCACTCCTAAACAGCCATGAACTTCAAAAAAAAAAAAGGTCAGTCTGATCGTATACATACTAGCATGAAATCAAGGCTACATTCATGAGCCACCTGTCGAAGATCCGTTGGAGTAATGTGCTATAAAGTGGAATTATCACAGCGGATTCTTTTCGAGGAAAATCAATAAAAATGTCATTTTGAGGGGATTCCCCGGGGTCCCTGTATGAGACGGGAAAACAGGTTTGCTATGTGACGTCAAGTCGAGGAAGTTGAGTATGAGAATGTGATCGTTTTGTTGTGTTTCATGTTTAAAGGTCCCGTTTGTTATTCATTTATATTCGTACTTATAGTTAAATTTATATTTTTATGTTTCTATTTATATTTACATTGATGTTAATGCTTATATTGATTTTCCATGTCTATATCTATTTTTATATTTATGTTTATATTCATATTTATATACACATAACAGCGTCATTAGAAATGATTTAGTGAAAAATGAGTCATTAAGTAGACATAGTCATTAGCAGGACATTTTTCGTGTCCTGTTAACGATTGAAAAAAAAGTAATGTCCTCTACGTACGTTTGCAGACAGAGGAAACTTAAAGGCCTCCCAAAAACAATAGGTTTAATCATTAGTTATTAGTTTAATTAGTAATATTGTTTTGGATTTAGGGTTAGGGTTAGGGTACTTTACCAGTTTTTATGATGTCCGATTAATGTACCATTTGGGGTTATAACTATGGATATATTTGATTTTATATCTATATTCATCTTTATCTTTATCTTCATCTTTATATTTATATTCGTCTCTATCTTTATATTTATATTTGTATTTATATCTAAATTTATACTTATGCTTATATTTATATATATCTTAAAATATTCATATTTATATCTATGTATTTATATTCATATTTATATTTATATTCATATTTAAACTTATTTCATTAGCCATTTGAATAGTCATTTATGTATTTATATATTCATATCTTTATATGTCGATTCATGTGATAGGTTAACCCTGTCAGATAAATAACTGCGCGATATCCACGGGCCAATTTCGAAAAATCAGTCCAATATCATACTTAAGTACGGATGTACTTCTTATTATATTGCAGTTTAGTTTCATTTATTTCACATGAAAAACGATACATTAACAAAACATAGCATATTAACAAAAGTGATATTCATGAACAATAAAGACATCTACACAGCTTGAGTTTGCATTGCATTTACACTAAGGGACCTAATAAAAAGCATAGCTTGTAGAGTGTAAGTTCCCCAAAATCCTTTTGACCTAGTTTCATTCATAATCAGGTAGAAGTAAACTAATTATTAAAAAAGGGAGGAAAAAGCTAGGATGAAATGTAGCAAAGTATACAGACAAAATCAGTGAAATGATATGGATGATGGATGTAAGAAAAAAGAAAAATATAGGAAGAGAAGGTAAAGAATTAGAGTCAGAAGAAGAATGAGAGGATAGAACAGGAAGTTTTAGAATGGAATGTTTAAGTTCGGGATTCACAGTCAGGAAAAGTAGAATAATGGTGCATTACCTATTCAGAAGCAAACAAATGGAGAAGCTACTAACATATCTCAGATGGCCAGCCTCGATCCAGTTCCAGACATTCTGCGAGATGAAGTAGAATTCGCTGTCCGGAAACTCGCAGAAGAGAAAGCACCTGGATTTGACAGCATCACAGGAGAGGAATTCAAAGCTGCTGGGTCAACAGGAATCATCATACTCCACATATTGTGCTACAAAATATGGCGGGAAGAAACCTTCCCGGGTGACTGGTGAAAAACCATAATAACACCAATCTACAAGAAAATAGTTTTTTAATTTTATTTTCACAATCATGTCACAATGTAAAATAATAGCAATGTTGATAGATTCAAAGAGCTATATTTAAATCGAAAGCCGTGCAATTAATTTTTTTTATTGATTGCAAATACACTGTTGGTCATAAGGGTGGAATAATTATTTTTACCCCAATTTATGGAATAATTTTGACAATGATTTATTCCTAATAGATCTAGATAATAGTATACATTCTCAGATTCTATTGAATGATAATTTGCGAGTGTTTGTTTTGCGTGACTGTTAAAGCATATGTGTGCTACTACGCTAATCAATTAGGAGACCTACGCCCTTAAGTCATAACTGACAGTAATGAGGATTAATGCCTCACAAAAGAGAACTAATATAACATATCGACACGGTTTTAATAATAATAATAATAATATATTACATTTATATAGCGCTTAATACAAAGTTTCTAAGCGCTTAACAAAAATAAAATTAAAGTAATGTTAACCTACAAATTACAACAATATAATACATGATACATAATTATAATAACAAATTCCTAATAACAATCATACAATAATAATAGTTAATATTGATACAGTTTTGATCCAGGGGCCTCACAGTAACGAGGTTATTGCTTAGCCACTGAATCATGACTTTACGCAGCGGGGGCTAGGGTACGGGGCCGCCCCCACAAATACAAAAAAAAAAAACACGCCATGCCTTAAACCATGGCCCTAGAAATGTGATTTTCTCTTTGAAATTCAAATACCGTCCACAAAATGACTTTTTGGTACCCTTTCTTCAAAATTAATTGTAATCACTCATGCGTGAAATGTGCATCATATGAGTTGCATCAAATGAAAAAGGAGGATCTACGCTTTACAAATATATGTCATTTATCAATCATAATTGTGATTAAGTTATGATAAAACATCGCTAATTATCGGTTTCGTTTTTCTGGGACGCACTGTATAGGCCAATGGTATTGACCCATCACCTCTACGCTTTTGCTGCAATTAGAACCAATCTAAATCAGTTCTTTCACACACATTTGCCAGTAATGCATTACAATCTCACACAGAAATAACAAAATGGGTAGGTCAACAAATACTAACACAGAAATTGAAGTAAAACTACAAATCAAATGACAAAAAAAGATTCTAGATAATTAACCTGCCGGACGAAATTCCCTGGATTTTTGCGATAACGGATCTTCTGGCACAATGACCCCGGTCAACGTCTCCAGACAAAATGACGATAACATTCTTACTCTTGTATGGAAACATTTGTGAAATTCTATGTTTTACTTTATGATTTCAAAACAACAGAAGATAAAAGCTATATTCATTTTGTCGTAAACAGTTAGTTCTGTTTACTTGTCAAAATTGATAAAATTACAGACAACAATAGTTACATTTTAATGGCAAAATATAATAACCTTACATTCGTGGAACAGTAAATTGCATGTGCATCACATGCCTCTCAGGAAAACAATAATGTGCATTGTTCTTTCTTCTCCTAAGTGTGAGGCAATGCATGATTTATTAGGCAGACACACATCATCTGTTACTAATAGAATGTCAAGATATCAAAAGTTGTCAGTTATTTTTAGAAGCGTTTTTAGATTTCTGGGAGATGTTTTGATTGTTTTTCTTCCACAGGTTGCCTTATTTACAGAAAAAGTAGGGTCATGCAAGACACCGAGTAAATAATGCATTAACAAAAATGATTATCAAGGCCCAAACTTTAGGGTAGAGAACAAAAGAATGGCTAAATTAATGTTCACTGCGTGAGGTCTGAGTGAATTTGATCTGATGATACTACTAAAATTCAGATGACATAGATATACAACAAAAAAGATTTAAAAAATGTGGTATTTGGGGGAACTAACAAAATGAAAACTTGATAAACAAAGTAAGCTCCGGTGAGGGCATAGGAATACGATTACTTGACTATCAAACGTATTTACCATAGCTGAAAGGGGCACGTTCCTGCCAGTGTAGTTATCGCAACATGCCATCTGCGTAAGAGCCGTATTCTGTTGGTGTCAATAGGCAGCTATAGCGCCGCCCGCCAACGCGTACGTATTTTGAGCGCCCTCTAGAATACGGGGAACATGCCCCTTTGAACAAGATAAATTCATAACATATCTATACAATTGTTGATATTTAGAGGTAAGAATATTTTCTACAGGTACATCTGGATCAATTCTATTTTTGATGGGCACAGTTTGTCAATTATTTCCCGATAAAGCAAACAAACAAACGTTTGAACTAAAAGAGACACCTACTCACTCCCACACACCCACACCCGCGCCCACATAATTATGTTCGCCGATTTTTACATTCGCGAATACCTATTTTGTTGCCCAAAATACACGAATTTGCCGACCAAAGTTCGAGGG